TGTTGACAAGCTCGAGCGTGTCCAGAAGAGGGCAACCAGGATGGTGAGAGGGTTGGAATCAAAGTCTTATGAGGAAAGGCTGAAAGAGTTGGGTCTGTTTAGCCTGGGAAAGAGAAGGCTTAGAGGGGACACGATTGCAATCTTCAAGTATTTGAAGGGCTGTCATGTAGAAGATGGAGAGGATCTATTCTCTCTTGCTCTGGATTGCACGACTAGATCTAATGGGTGGAAATTACAAGGGAGTCGTTACCGGCTAAATATCAGGAGAAACTTCCTAACTGTTAAGAGTGGTTGAGCAGTGGAACAGTCTGCCTCGGGAGGTGATGGATGCTCCTTTGCTGGACGTTTTCAAGCAGAGGCTGGACAACCATCTTTTGGGTATGTTGTAGGTATGTAGGGCTATCTTTCAGGTATGCTCCTGCAGAGTGCAGGGGGTTGGACTAGATGACCTGCAAGGTCCCTTCCAACTCTAACATTCTATGATTCTATGAATCCACCTATCAGCTAAATTTTGCATAGTCCTGGGGCTTAAATTACGTACTAGAACTCTGCCACCTGTCGAAACGGTAGATTTCATGACTTTAACACCCCATCTTCTCTTGCTGGCTTAGTGATGCTTTTCACTTTCTTGGGTAGCCAGATCATACACATCATGAAGCCTGCCTTTTAAAGTCTCTTATGCATTCCTGATGAGTCGCTTCAGTTTGCCTCTTTGGCTTTATCTCAAAGCACAAAATCAATTGGTGGTAATGGTTGTCTTCCAAGCATGAAGAAGTAGAGGGATTCTCCTTTAGTATCATTTTTATCATTTATTTATTTTATTTATAGCCTGCCCTCCCCGCCAAAGCAGGCTGTAAGCATGAGCCAGTAGTTTTACATACTTTTTTCCAGTTAGATTTCTTGTTTGCTTCCAAGGTGCCCAACATGTCCAAAAGCCACTGGGGTCCTGCAAGCAATGTGAAAGTCTCTTCTATTCTTGGCAAAGGATAAGCATCTTTCTCTGTCAAATGATCTAGTTTCCTGTAGTTTCCTACCATCCTAGGAGCTCCGTTCTTCTTCCTTACCAGCACTCCTGGTGATGCATATGGGCTACTCGTCTCCTCAATTACACCTAAAGCAGCTAGTTCTCTCAAGTGTTGCTGGAGATCTTTAAAATCTGCAGGTGAAACTCACCTCATTCTCTCTCTAAAAGGCACATCACTTTTAAAGCAAATTTTGTGAGTCATGCCTGAAACTCTCCAAGGGTCCAAATCATGTGTTGCAAAAACTCTTGGAGTTTCTCTTGCTGTATGTTGTGAAATCCTTCTTTGCTCTGATTTACTTAGTCAAAGTTTCAAAATTTTAGAACTGGGAAATCATTTTATTTTGCAGTGTCCAAACCTGGCATGACCAGGGCTCGTACCCTCTCCACTTCATACGTTTTAGCAACTACTGTGTGAGGATTCCATACAATATCATTTTGGGTCAAGTTCTTGATGCTGACCCCTATCCTCATGTTAGATACTATGAATTTCACTACGCGTGGGGAAATGGTTAACCCTCCTGGTCCAGCCACAGCTTCTGGGTCTTCCAAAACAACTGTGTTTCCCACTCTCTGTTGTGATGTTTGCAACATATCTGTCACTGTGCATGATCTGCCTGCTGGGGCATTGACATTCCCCACTGCAACCATATTTCATTTCCATCTTCCATTTCTGTCTTCTTCCAGTTTGGTGTAGTAATTAAGTGCGTGGACTCTAATCTGGGAGAACCGGGTTTGATTCCCCACTCCTCCACATGTACCCGCTGGATGACCTTGAGCAAGCTGTAGTTCTGATCAGAGCCATCCTTGAAAAAGAGCCGTTTCTGTCAGAGCTCTCTCAGCCCCACCCACCTCACAGGGTGTCTGTTGTGGGGAGGGGAAGGGAAAGGAGATTTGTAAGCCGCTCTGAGACTCCTTTGGGTAGTGAAGGGCGGGGTATAAATCCAATCTCCTCCTCCTCCTCCTCCTCCTTCTTTCTTTGACTTTCCAAATAATGACTGCAAGCTTTTTTCCACTGATATGGCAAGCCTGTGCTGGTTGAGAAACTAACTCCATCTAGATTAATATTGGCATCAGTTATGCGTTTTAATACATTACTACCCATAATAATTGAAAGTTGTTGATTCATGCGTTGATCTGGACACACTAGAGCTAAAATCTCATATCCCTTTTCTGTACCTTCAATATCATGTAGAATTTTGCAAGTCTACAATGATGAATCCCAAATCTCCTGCTCCTTCTATTTACAGTTGATTTCTAATAGGCTGCAACTCTCGATGGAATAAGTGGACTTTATAAAAGGTTTCACATATGCAGGTTACCTGTGAACCCGTATCTATTGAACAGTTACACTTCACCCCATCCGATATACATAATCATCACACAGGTCCCATCATAAGAACATAAGAGATGTCCATGTTGGATCAGGCCAAAGGCCCATCCAGTCCAACACTCTGTGTCACACAGTGGCCAGAAATACCAGGTGCCATCAGGAGGTCCACCAGTGGGGCCAGGACATTAGAAGCCCTCCCACTGTTGACCCACCCCAAGCACCAAGAATACAGAGCATCACTTGTCCCAGAGCCCTTATTTATACCTTAGGGCTAATAGCCACTGATGGACCTCTGCTCCATATCCTTATACTAATAGCGAAAGGCGCCCCCTGCGTGCGGATATCTAAATCCGCACATCGGGGGCACCTGGGGGGCAGGGAGATTTTCGTGCACACTTGGGGCAGTCCCCAGGCGTGCACAAAAATCTAAAAACCTGAAAAAATATCGGGGGGATACTTAAACCCCCCCAAAAGTGACAGAGCGTCCCCTGTGCATGCGCAGGGAACGCTCTGTGAACTCCCTGACCGCCGCAGCCGCTCGGGCCTCACTGCGGAGCGGGGGGAGAGCAGCGAGGCTTGTGGAGCGGGGCGAGGGGAAGGGGGGGAGATCAAGGGCGGGTGGAGGCGACGGGGGAGGAACCGGCGGGAGGGGGGGAAACTTACCTCCTCCTCCTGCTTCCTCCTCTACCTCAGAAGTGTGGAGGTCCCTCCCCCCCGCGAGTATTGCGGGTCCCACCCCTTGTGCTTATCTAATTCCCTTTTGAAGCCGTCCACGCTTGTAGCCGCCACCACTTCCTGTGGCAGTGAATTCCAAGTGTTAAGCACTCTTTGGGTGAAGAAGGACTTCCTTTTATCCATTCTAACCCGACCGCTCAGCAATTTCATGGAGTGCCCACGGGTTCTTGTATTGTGAGAAAGGGAGAAAAGTACCTCTTTCTCTACCTGCTCTTTCCCATGCATAATCTTATAAACCTCGATCCTGTCACCCCTCAGTCGTCGTTTCTCCAAGCTGAAGAGCCCTAAGCACCTTAACCTTTCCTCATAGGGAAAGTGTTCCAACCCTCTGCAAGCTCTTTAGAAAGTTCTTTGGGCATGTGATTGACCGTGTCGAACACTGCTGTGATATCCAGTTGCAACAGCAGTGCCAACATGCCTCGATCCAGTTGTCTCCAGAAGTTGTCTATAAGGGGTGCCAGGGCAGTCTGTGTCCCGTGGCCAGGTCAGAAGCTGGACTGAAATGGATCCAGGATAGAGGAGTCATTTAAGAACACCTGGAGCTGCTCAGCTACCACTCTCTCAACCACCTTACACAGGAATGGAAGGTTCAATACTGGGCGGTGGTTGGCTAGGGCCACAGGGTCCAACGAAGTCTTTTTCAAGAGCGGACACATCACCGCCTCCTTCAGGCAACCCAGGAATGTCCCTGAAGACAGGGAGAAGATTGATAATTTCTCCCAGAGGAGCCCAGATTCTGTCTCCATGGGTTTTAACAAGCCAAGATGGACACGGATCCAGGAGGTAAATGGTGGGCTTCACAGCTCTCACCCATTTTGTTGGGTGGCACTATTAGAAGCCTTGAGCTAGTGATTTACACAGAGAAGGTTGTATTTACAGTTACCGGTTTCAGTAACTGGAAGAAAGGCTCTCACACTTCTTTACTTTGGCAAACGATGTAAAACAGCATTGTTTTCATTTTTTTGTAATTCCATTTTCCGCACTGATTGACATAGCATGTCCGGTACTTTTCCGTGCTTTTCTAATTTTCGTAATCCTAGCATGATGGTGCATTGCTTATTTGATCTCCTGTGCAGTTTGATTGCAATATTCTATACCATGTAATCCACCTTGAATCCCAAGTAGAAAAGTGGTAAACGATTAATAAAGTATAGGTACATGAATAATAAAGTAAATAAATAATGATGGGCTGACCACCACTGCACTAATTTGCCCCCCCCCAAAGAAAAATTTTCTGGCTATGGGTCTCGAGATCTCCCGCTATTACAACTGATCTCCAGATGACAGATCAGTTCTCCTGGGGAAAAATGACCGGTTTGGGGGGCAGACTCCATGGCATTCTTCCCCATTGAGGTCCCTCCCTTCCACAAGCCCTGGCCTTCTCAAGCTCCGCCCCTACCCAAATCTCCAGGAATTTCCCAACCTGGAGGTGGCCACCCGAATGCTACCCCTGGTTCCTTGCCCTGTGTCACCACAGAAGAAGAAGAAGAAGAGATTGGATTTATACCCCACCCTGCACTACCCAAGGGAGTCTCAGAGCAGCTTACAAACCCCTTTCCCTTCCCCTCCCCACAACAGACACCCTGTGAGGTAGGCAGGGCTGAGAGAGCTCTTCACAGAAACGGCTCTTTTCAAGAACAGCTCTGACAGAACTACGGCTTGCCCAAGGTCATCCAGCAGGTGCAAGTGGAGGAATCAAACCCGGTTTTGAAGCAGAGAGAACTCAAAATACTGCAGCCAGAACTACACATCCAAATGAACAAAAGGCGTGATTCATTGTGTAGTTTGGATTTTGGGAGGGAAACGTTTGTGCTCTGGTGTGTCTTGACGCACAGCCAGACTGGCTGCAGCTCTCTCCATCATCCCAGGTCTTAGGCCTCATGTCTGATCTTATTTTGGGATGTTTTGCAGGATCAAAGAACGAAGATGCTGCCTCCCTGTATGGTCCTGGTTCTCTATCTGATGGGATTTTTCTCAGGAGAACTTCAGGTATGAAGGGCACGAAAAGCAGGGGGTGAGGGAGTCAGGGCTCGAAACTGCGTTTGATCCGTGCTGTTGTGGGGAACTGCAGACTGGGGCAGGTGGCCAGGGGTGGGAATGGGCATGAATCAAACTGTGAAGTAAAATGTTTTGCTAATTTTGCCCTGTCCATGGTTTGCAAACTGAAGTTCATGACCGGTCTACTGTCATGTACTTCCACAAAAGTTTAAAGCAGTTCATGGCAGTGTATGACAGTACATGGGTAGAGCACAAAGCAGGGGGTTAAAGGGACTCTGAATCCCTTCAAACCCTTGCTTTCGGTTCCCCAAAAAAACAGCTGACTGGCAAGAAACAGCCCGCTCCCCGCCACTCAGTTGTTTTTCATGCTTTCTGCAAACCCCATTGAAAGGGACTGCAGTCCTTTTCAACCTGCCACGGACCGTGAACCGGTTCAGTTTGCGAACAACCCCCCCTGGCTCGGTTCAGCTCATGGTTCGTCACGAACCACGAACCGACATGAACGGCATTTTTCTGGTTTGTGCCCATCCCCAGCCAGAGGACCAGACCTGAAAAGCCACCTCCAGGGGTGACATCCCATGTTTTGAGTGGCTGTGTGGGCAGGGGGCATGTGCAGAGTTCCAGATTTACTGGCCTGATCAGCCCCCCATCATAGAATGTTGTTGGTCTCCCCGTGGTGGTTAGGATGGTGTCATGGATCAGGTGGGGTGTCACCTGATGCTGCCACCACTCTGGATTTAGGTTCCCTTGAGAAGGCCAAGAATATCCTCCCAAGACCTTCAGATCTCCCTTTAGGCCGAATAACAGGCGTGAGGACCAGGCAGAGTGAAACAAGAAAAAGGTTTATTTTATAGGAGGTCAAACAACAAGGTGCAGAATAATAACAATAAGTGGGTGAAAAGAAAAGAAATCAGATGCCCTAACGCGTCTAAATTGACTTTCCCTAGCTCACTATCTCAAGCGGCCTTACTCTACTCACCCCTTCCTCAGGATGAGGGTTTTTCCCCTGCAGCAGCCTCTCTTCTGGCTCTGGAAGAAAGAACAGCTTTTCCTGCTGCTCCAGGTCTTTTATTCCAAGCCCTCCTCGCCCTCCTCTTTTCCTATTGGCCCATCTTGGCTCCAAAACCTCCCAGGGGCTTCTGGGAGTTGTAGGCCCAGCCTCACCTACTGCTAGCCAGGCTCTCTGGGCCTAGTAGGCCTCTGGTAGCACAGCCCAGATCATGACAGATGGCCAAAAGAAATGCGCGTGACTGTGAGGGGAAGTAGAGTTGCCAGCCCTGAGCCAGCAAATGACGGATATTTGCAGGGCGATGCCTACGAAGGGTGGAGGTCCCAGGGGCATGATGGCGCATCTTCCATGATGCTTTGGAAATTTCCCCAATACCACAGAGACCGGGGAAGTTCTTAGAGCATCATGTAGGATGGAGGTTGGGAGGATGTGACATCATTTCAGGGCTTTTTTTATAGCATAATAGGCCACACCCAACAGCAGAAACCCATTAGCATATTAAGCCACACCTCTGATAGCACAACTCATTGGCATATTAGGCCACACCCCCATGTTACCAGAAGTGTGATCATCCAGCCACACCCACCTTTTGCTTCTTATTCTGTTTACCTTGTTTGTTGTCAAAACCCAGGGCTTTTTGCATGTTAGGCCACACACCCCCTAATTGTAGCCAATCCTAATGGGTTTCTGCTGTTGGGTGTGGCGTATTATGCTAATGAGCTCCTGCTGGGCGTGGCCAACTTGGGAGCCAGCCGGAACTCCGTTCCTGTGCGTTCCTGCCCCCAAAATAGCCCTGCCTTCTTGCCAACGTTGTAGTGAGCCCTCCAATCTCGATAGTCCTTAATTGGGGTAGATAGAATTGGGGGCGGGTTCCTAGAGTGTGACCATTGAAACTATTCCCTCCCCTTCTCCTGCTTCTCAAGTCATTGAGGGGGCCTGGGGATTGCCTGCTGTCAGTGGGCAAATTGCAAGCCTGATGGGAAGGTGATGCCTCTGGTATGCCTCTTCCCTACTTTTTTAAAAAATAACAAACTATCCCCAAAACGGGGGGGGGGGGGGAAAAGGGAGGAATTTTTTTTACAATTATTGCCATCCCTTTTGTTTGACAGCTGCAGGCCCCATCTGCCCATGGCCTCCTCGTATTGAGTGGAAGATGAAAAGACCGACATCGATTCCAGATGGCCAAAAAAATGCATCTGCACTCACTTGATTTTTTGGGAATCTAATATGATGAATATGTTGCCGAAGGCTTTCACGGCCGGAGTTCGTTAGCTGTTGTAGATTTTCCAGGCTGTCTGGCCGTGGTCTTGGCATTGTAGGACCTGACGTTTCGCCAGCAGCTGTGACTGGCATCCTCAGAGGTACAAGTAGATATATAAGAGACCTCCCAGTTGAAAGTAGTCAGAATTATAGAAACAACCAGGGAAACGTTTTGTATACAATACAATAAATAGTATATTGAAATTTTATACAAATTGTGAATAATTTTCAAAAGTGCTTAATTCATAGAAATCCACCCATAAGTTCATACATAAGAATCTCAATATTTATAAACAGTTCAAAATATATTTAAGAGAATTACAATATATTAATACATTAACAAAGCTTCCGGCTTTAGTCTTCGTTTCGCTAGACTTCTTCAGAAGTAAATTCTCTTCTTCATCATTTTGCTATAAGACAAATTACACAAATACATATCACAAAGAAGGTGTAGAGGAAATATCAAATACCATAATAAAATGTCGGGAAAGGTCGGAGGGGGGCAGGAGGTCTCCTGCCAAAGTGGGAAACTTCCAGGCCTTGACATAAGCCCAGGTCCACCTTGCCAAACCCATACAGTCATTCTGGGTCCCAACCGTGCCACCCCACCCCCAGCCTTCCTTTAACCCTTCCATTTGCCCTTGTATCCCTGTCTGACCCAGGGCTTCAGCGTCGTCTCTACACGGATGCAAGACTCGACACTTGATATGGCTACATCATCTTTTGACGACCAGTACAACGGCTGCGTGGACGAGATGGAGGATAAAGTGGGAGAGCTCCAGCGCACTGAGTTTGCCAACAAGACCTATGCCAACATCTGGGATCGTGCGACCGCCGAGTGGAACGAGCAGAAGCCCGCAGGCCTCAAGCGAGAGTACGGCATCGCAGTCGTGGCCTACACAGAAAGCAAGGGCTCCTTATTCAGGGATTTAAATGATGCTCTCCGGAAAGCAGGAAAGAGTAAAGACTATTACCTCAAGGACTTCAAGTTAAAGTCCTTCCACTATCTCTTGACCAGGGCCCTTCAAGTCCTATGGACCAACTCTAACGGCGAGTGCTATACAACGTATCGTGGGGTCAATGGCATCCGATTCATCACAGAACGCTCCAAGGAGGTCCGATTTGGATGCTTTGCTTCCTCATCGCTGAACAAATATATTGCCACGGGATTCGGGGATGACACTTTCTTCACCATTAAGACCTGCCATGGGACCTACATCAAGGAGTTCTCCATCTACCCAGGCGAGGAGGAAGTTCTGATCCCCCCCTACGAATTGTTCCGGGTTGAAGATTTTGTTAAGACACCATCTGGTAAAATCCGCATCAGTCTCACCTCTGTTGGAAAGTTCAGCAAGTACAACTGTGTATACGCCAAAGGTAACCACAACAGCTCCTTGACCTGGATAGCCCAGGCTAACCCCATCTTGTCAGATCTTGGAAGCCCTGGCTAGTATTTGGGTGGGAGACCTCCAGGGAATACCAGGGTTGTGCCATGGAGGCAGGCAGTGGCACACCACCTCTGAATGTCTCTGGCCTTGAAAGCCGCACCATGAGTCAGCTGTGACTTAGCAGCCCTTTCCACCACCAACCACAAGGGCACCCGAGTCCCGAGTCTGGAGAAGATTAGACCTGATGGTCCCACAACAGCTAGAGTCAGACCTCCATCTGAGGCACCATTCACCTCCTACTCCCCCTGTCCAGATCTGCAGATGAGGACCTATTGCAACACTCTGTGTCACACAGTGGCCAAAACCCAGGGGCCATCAGGAGGTCCACCAGCAGGGCCAGAAGCCCTCCCACTCTTGCCCCCCCAAGCACCAAGGAGACAGAACATCACTGCACCAGACATAAGAGCATAAGAGGAGCCAGTGTTGGATCAGGCCAATGGCCCATCCAGTCCAGCACTCTGTGTCACACAGTGGCAAAAAGTAACAGGTGCCATCAGGAGGTCCAGCAGTGGGGCCAGGACACCAGAGGTCCTCCCACTGTTGCCCCCCCCCCCAAAGCACCAAGAAGACAGAGCATCACTTGCCCCAGAGCCCCTATCTATACCTTGTGGCTAATAGCCACTGATGGACCTCTGCTCCATATGTTTATCCAGTTCCCTCTTGAAGCCGTCCATGCTTGTA